CCAAAGCTGGTTTCTGACCACGACCCAGCTAACTAGAAGGAAAAAAGTAAATAAAAAAACTTTTTCCAAAAATGTGGTTGGATACCCATGGATTCACCCGTATATCATCACTGATTATTACAGGTCGAACATTATTAAATAAACCACCTCTAAAAGAGTTAATCATATTATGAAACATATGAAATTTTATATGGAAGTCAATAAATATGATAACGAGCTCGAATTTTCATTGTATTATCATCAGCATAGAAACCAATTTGTTGAAATTTTCTTTCGATAAAACTACGTTGAATATAATCGTTTGAAGGAAGAATAATATAACTATCTCTGTTGCAAACAAGAGTGGTTATACTGAAAGTAAATTTGTTTAAACATGGCATATGAATAAGAATTTCATCATTTAAATGAATACCATCAGTATAAATCGAATTAATTCTTTTTACAAAAAGAAATAAAATTAGTTTTTCGAGATTTGACATTAGATGAAATAATGGAACAAGTTCATCATAATAGGATGTTCTTGATATCGAAGTTAATGAGAAATATTTTAATTGTGAAATTTTTTTCTATAAAGAAAATCATCCATTTTCTTTTATTATTTTATACATTTTAAGCATTTGATCAAGATTTTTTAGATAATATTATTTATCAAATTCAAACTTCAGGTTCTACTTTTTTTATTAAAATGAAATAAATCTGTTTTTCGTCCAATTTAGATGACGATGAAGATGTATTTTCCATAAATTCAACAACAGGTGATTTATGGATATTAAAATCATTTGAGCGTGAAATCAAATCAAATTATTCATTATTTATTTGTTCATTTGATTACAAATATAAAATATGTTCATTAATATTAATAAATATTCTTGATGGAAATGATAATATTTGTTTATTTAACTCATCAAAAATCAAATTAAATATAAATGAAAATCTTCCATTAAATACGGTAACACGCATGATGCTCCCCAGTCAGTTGCTCCCACGACATTTGCTCCCCAGATATTTGCTCCCGCGACACTTGCTCCCCAGTGACACTTGCTCCCCAACGACATTTGCTCTCCTAAGAATTGTTTT